AGGCCCTGGCCAGGAACAACCCACCATGGCCTTGAAGGATCTGGGACAAGCTACCAGCCCCAAGTCCCTCACCCTCCATTCTCTGAGTGGCCAGGGACACCCACAACCAGCAGACATGGACTGCATGGCAGCTGCCCCATCTTTTCACCGGCCTCGGTTTCCCTGTGATAACCTGGGAGGTCCTCCCACTGTTGGTCTCTGATCCCTCTGGAGGAATACAAGGTGAGCCTAGTGAGTTGAGGGATGCTGACAAAGTTGCTGTGTGGGAGGGTGGGTCCCATGTTTCCAGAATATTCCATGCCCCAAGGCAGTCTGCAGTTCTCACAGGCAGGGAGAGGGTGCTGAGCCAGAAGATTTGCCAGCCTCTGCATCAGGACAGCAGGGTGGGACAGGTGCACACAGAGTGACTACAGTAGGTAGGAGGGCTTCCCTAGGGAGCAGGTGGCTTCTGGTGAGGTAGGACCCAGGTCTTGCCCCAGCCCAAAGCTTCAGACCCCGAAGGCCTGAGGCCAGCTACTCACTCCTGACCATCAGATATCCCACTCCCCTGGCTGATGGGGGCAGGGGGACATGCCTCACTCCCTTGTTAACTCCGAGTAGCCACAGGCTGGGCCAGGTCCTGCTGCCTACCAATGAGCAGGCCTCACTTGCATTTCCTGTTCACCAGCCACTGGCCCTCTCTCTCTCCCCTTAGCACCCACCTCACCAGCCATGCCCTGCCCAGCCCTTTATCTGACTTGTGTACCTGGCCAGCGGCCTTCCTCTCTGCTCCCATCTCTCAGCCCTGCTGGCTTCCCCCATCCCCCAGCTCTTTGGAGCTTGTAGGGAGCTCACAGCAGCCCCCGAACTGCCTCCCACCTGCCTCAGTAGCCCCTGAACAGTCTGCTACGCAACTAGGGCAGGTTCTCCAAGAGCCTACACTTGTCCTCTCACTGGATCCAGGACAGCCTGGGGGCCTTCAAGAGCCTCCTCAGGGTTTGGCTTGTTATTAGCATATTTTTTTTATTATTATTATGGAAACATACACAAAAGCAAAGAACACAATATAATGAATGCATTCACCACTGGGCTTCAACAATCCCCGGTTACAGGCAGTTCTGTTTAATTGTCACTTGCCTCCCTACTCTCTCCCTGCCAATTATTCTGAAGCAGTTCCCACCTGTTACGTAGTTCCGTCCACAAATTCTTCAGTGGGCACCTCTGACAGGCACGGCATTTTTACCCCGAAGTTCGCACAGGGAAAGTGCCCTTGCACTAGCCACTGACAAAGGTGAGGAGGAGTTTTCAGTCTCTATGAATGAAAGGTTTCTAAAAGATATTTGACATGTTTAAATCTAATGCCTTTTGATGCTCAAGTCATTCTGCTGTGGCTCAGATCCTTCTAAAACTTTTTGGTGGACAGCTAGAAAATGACTTTAATACAAAATAGCTGATGAGTTTATGCTACTATTCCTATTCAGATTTAAGGATTGGTTTATATGTCTCTGTTTTTTGTATCCGGATCTTTTTTTCTCTTATATGAATATCGTGGTTACGAAGAAACTTAACATCATAATAGTAATACAACCAACATTCAGTATCTGTGGGTTCTTCAGCCACATGGAAAATATTTGAAAAACAAATTATGCCTATCCTGACTGAGCATGTACAGGCCTTTTCTTGTCATTGTACCCTAAGCAATACAGCATAAGAACTATTTGTATAGCATTTACATTGTATTAGGTATTATAAATGATCTAGAGATACAGGAGGATGTACATAGGTTCTATGCAAACACCACACCATTTCATTTAAGGGACTTGAACATCCTGAGGATTTTGGTATTGATGGGGCATCTTGGGACCTATCCCAAGATTCCAAGGGACAAATATACCGATATTGGTAAGAGTATGATTCTTTGGGTTCCTTTTGTCCTTTGAACATTAGTAATACAATTGATTATGCTCTCCATTATCGGGTTAATCACCTTTAGTTATTGTGGGCTGATCAGGCCCACAACCTCCCAAGCCAGTGGATGGCCAACAAGGCTTAAATAAATGAGACAATTAAAATGATTTTAGGGCTCCAAGAAGGTTCAACCCTCTCACAGAATTTAAGATTTTCTGGGTTAAGACCAAGAACTTTTTTAGGTAGCCCTATTTATTAGGTTTTTAAACAAACGAGAGAAATAATGAAGAAAATACAGGAATCTGGGCAGGACTTGAGAATCCCTTTATGGACTTTTCTAAGTAAAATCTTCTGTTAATTTAGGAGAACTATGTTATCTGCAGGAAGGCCTTCACTGCAAGAGTGAGATGCCTGTCGCTACAGTCTCCTTTTAGTTAACTGGGGTTGGAGCCAAAAGTCTTCAGCTGTGGCCTTATCTTGTCTTCTGAGGCATCCCAACTTTACAGGCCAAAACAGGTCTCAGCGGGGACTGAGCGATGCATAGTGATTCACTTACTATGAGTCCGCTGTCCATCTCCCGAGAAGGTGTTTAAGCTTCGGACAACTCACAAGTAAACATGGAAACCAATTGGTTAATATTAAATTCTACTCAGAGCCGCTTCATGCTGGTCTCCCTCCCTCCATTGTGTGGCTCCACAGTAGAATTCAGTCAGCTGAAGTACATTGTGGTTGCTGTTGGTCTTTTGTTAATTCAAGTAGCATTGCAAGGCATAACTTTATCTATATATTATTTTCTATTTTTTCTTGCTTATCTTTGGATTAGTTCCTGGCAGTGGGATTTCCAGGTCAAAGAGTACATATACTTTTGCTTGCTAATATTGCCAGAATTCCCTTCCCACAGATGACAAGGAGAGCACCTGCTGCCTTGGCCTCTCCTGCAGATTGTGCCCTCAAACATCTGAAATTTTGCCAATCAGATAGGCAAGCATGGTATCAGGGTGTACTTGTGATTTGCATTTTTCTTGTGAGTGAGGTTAAGCATTTTTTTCATAAGTGTAAAGGTCATAAACTTCTCTTCCTGTGCACTTTTCACATCTTTTGCCCATGTTCCCAGGAGGCTATTTTCTTCTCAGCTTTAGATGTTCTTTATATATCAGCCATACTAATCCTATGCCTTTGATGGAGATTGCAAATATTTTCCCAGACTGAGTCTTATCTTTGCTAATGGTGGTTTTCTTTTCTTTTTTGTTGTCTTATCTATTGATTCTTCATTTCAAAAAATAGTTGTAAACCTTTCCTCTACTCACAGGTTGTCAAGGAATTCACCCATTTTTTTTTTTTTTTTTTTCAGAGAGGGTCTCACTAGTTCATTCTCACCTGGACTATGCAACCCAGGCTGTCCTTGAACTTATAGTGATCCTCCTGCCTCAGCCTCCTGTGTGTTGGAATTACAGGTGCATGCCACTATACCTGGCTTCTGTTCCTTTTTATAGAATCTGTGTGGTTTTATTTCAACCTCTTCACTGAAACCCCAGGCCCATTTGGGAATTTACTCTAGTGCAGTGTGAGAAGTGGGCCTGGTCTAGCTTTCCTCTTGCTTTCTGTATGGCTGTCCAGTTGTCCTAACACTGCTTACTTACTGAAGGCTCATCATCTTTCTGCTGAGCTGGAGGTGCAGCCACTGTTCACTCCTGCATGCAATCCCCGGAAAGTGTTTATTCTATTCTTATTATGTGTCCTGCAGTGGCAGTGTGTCCGTTCTCTGGCTTGGCCATGTTGTATGAAGTGATGTGCCCCCAGGAATGTTCCTAGCTTGGTCCTGAACTTCTCTAGTCCATTGGTGGTGAACCTATGGCACACATGCTGCAGCAGACTGTTTGTATCATTCAAAACTAAAAGCTTCACCAAGCTGCCCCCCACCACAGGCTAGGACTACTTTTCTCTGCAAGTATATTCTGTGCCTTGCTACGGGCAGCACCAGCTACACATGGGAGCCCAGGGCCCAGGACCAGGAGCTAAACTTTGCTCCCCATCCCAGACTTCCTGGTGGGGATACATTACAGGGGCTGGCCCCGCATGCTCAGTGAGGACCTGCAATCAACTCATGAGTAACCAGCCCCACCAGGCCCTCACTGAGCTCAGCTGTGACTCTCTCCCCGCCCAGCCACAGAAGAGTGGGTGAATGGCATGTAGGTGAGACTTTTTTGTTTGCTGCCCTCCCCAAACACCAGTGTAGCTTGGGACAGTGTGAGAAAGCAGCCCAAACATTCAGACACCATCACTCACTCCTACACCCTCTCTCTCACCTGGGGAAACCTCAGGGTACAGGTCAGCCCAGTCCTAGAGCAGGGAGGATGAAGTACACAGTCTCATATCCCTAGGTGAGTGCAAACGATTCTCCTGTAACTTGCCCAGGTAGTTCTGCCCAACATGCCAAGCAACCCTGCAGGCTTCTACTGGGCTGTGCAAGACCATCCCTGGACAGTCCTTTTTCCCCTTCCAAGTCCTATGGACTGGGACCAGTGGGAAGCAACTCAAAATTGTTCCCTGCCAGCAGCGTGCACATCTGGACAGCCAGGGGACACTGAGTGTTCAGTCTTCCACATAGTCTCATCTTGGTGTCAGGATGGTCTGCACGTGCCACAGGGCGCCCCGCTTCTCTCTTGCCTCTTACTCTGTCCCCAGAAGGGCTCATATGCTGAAAAAGCTGGTGCCCATGTCCTGTCTCGCCCCTACCGCACAGTTAGTGGTGGTGGCACCTGCCAGCCCAGAGCTTTCCTCTACGGCTTGGCTGGGGACCCCAGGAGTCGGGCAGAACAGGTGGGCATAAGGAATGGGGGCAAGCACGTGCACGCAAACAAGGCAGAGCAGTTGGGCAGGGAAAGGAGAGAAGAAACAGGTGGGCGCCAGCCCCAAAGGCCAAGCAGGTGGGCGGGGGCGAGGGTGGAGCCTAGCCGGTGAAAAGAGCTGGGCCAGCAGGTGGGCGCTGACCTCAGGCGCCCGGTGCGCGCTGGGCGGCCAGGGGCGGGACGCACGATCGGGGCGGGGCCTGCTATCCCCTGGGGACCAGCCTGCGGTCCCCGCCCCCTCCAGCCCCGCCCCCGGCCCCGCCTGCGGGGCAGGCAGCCGCGGCAGCCTGCACTGTACACCCGGCGCCCGCCTTTGCCGCAGCTCGAGGTGTCGCCACCCGTGTGTCGGCCCCTGCCAGGCTATGGCCGCGGCCTCCTCCCCGCCCAGGACCGAGAGGAAGCGCGGGAGCTGGGGCCGCCTGCTGGGCGCCCGGCGGGGCAGCGCCGGCCTGGCCAAGAAGTGCCCCTTCTCTCTGGAGCTGACTGAGGATGGCCCAGCGGGAGGCACGCTCTACGCGCCCATCGCGCCTCCAGGCGCCCTGAGCCCCGGCTCCCCAGCGCCCCCAGCGTCCCCCACCTCGCCTCCTGCAGGGCTGGACCTTGGCCCGCGGCCGCGGGTGAGCCTCGACCCGCGCGTCTCCATCTACAGCGCGCGCCGGCCGCTGCTCGCGCGCACCCACATCCAGGGCCGCGTCTACAACTTCCTCGAGCGCCCCACGGGCTGGAAGTGCTTCGTCTACCACTTTGCCGTGTGAGTATCGCCGCGAGGCAGGAGCGAGGACATCGTTCCTGGACCACTTGGGCCACCTGCTGCGGCTGCGACAGGAGGCAAGGAAGGTTTCATGGGGTCACCAGCAACTCGACTGGCGCTTCTCGCTTGAGGTTCAGGGACGCTGCGGTGGCTGGTGTAGGAAGCTGTACACGGGTCCTGCCCAGGCATGGCGCGGGGGAGACAGCTGGGGAAGGGCTGCCCCAGCCCAGAAGTTGGCTCCACTCCTCCCTGGAGGGCAGTCCGGGTGTTAATCCTTCTGGGAAGAGAAGCGAGCTGGCGGAGCTTGCCCTTGGGTGCCGCGGCAGGAGCCCCAGGAGTGGAAGTTCACCCGGGAAAGGTCTAGTCTAGGGGACTGTTCAGGACAGGGATCTGCTCAGGGCAAGGCGACAGGTGCCCTTGTGTTCCCTGAGGGGTCAGCAGGGCATCGGAAGTTCCTTGGCCGGTGTTAACCCGAGATAGTGAAAACCTGGGCCCTGCAGAGAAGCGTGGGGGTCGCTTCAGGCGTCCATCAGAGGCAACTGTGCTCCAGGAGCAGGCACAGTGCGGCACCGGCCTGCGCTGCCACCAGGTGGTTCCCATTCCTGAAGGCGTGCCCGAGCGGCTGCGTACTTGATTCCTCAAGGACGGGGCACAGGAAATTGCCTCTGGAAAGGGTCAGGCTGCCCTCCTTGCTGCCTTTTTCGCCACCCTCTGGCCCTGCTTTCTGGCTGCCCAGCCATGCCTGCTTGATACCGTGCCAACCTCTTGCCTGAGTCTGCTCCGATGTTCCCGTGCTGTGGAGGTGTGTAGGGTGGCTTCCCACTGCTTGGGTGCACCCATCCCTGCCGACAGGGCTGGCAAGGCATCCAGGGGCCTGTTTACTTCTACTTGTTGCTGCCTCCAGGGTATCAAGGAAGGCAGCAGGACCCAAGCTCAGGCAGGTGGGCCTGGGTAGCTTCCCACCTTACAGAGAGATGCTGGGCTTCCGTGGCAGGAGGGCAAGTCTCAGGCCATGCTGTCCCCACAGACAGGCTGCTTGTGGTCTTGAGATCTCTTTCCTATCCCCATCCTTTCCCTGAAATGTCAGAGGGTGCCTGAGCTGTGGCAGCTCTGTGGGAGAGGCAGGCTGTGCCTCCGGCTGCAGCAGTAGTGGGTTGTCTTAAAGTTGCGGAATATTCATGTACAGGGGCCCCAAAGGATCCCACCAGAGTCTGATGCTGTTGTATAAACATCCAACAAATCCCAGGCTTGTGGGGTGCTGCTGTGCCTGTGGGCGGCCTGCCTTCCAGCACTCACCTGCTGGACCCCAAACTCTTATCAGATGCTAGAAAAGACCCTGCCCTGTTACCTCTCTGTCCAGGAGGCCCCACCTACCAAGGTGAGGTACCTTCAGACATCTGCTCAGTGGCATCCTGGGGATGCAGGCTGGCGAGTGAGCATCCTCTGAGCTCCAGCTGCTGCCTGGGTGGAGGAAGAGGCTTGCCACACTCCAGAGGAAGTCTCTGCTTACATTGCGCTTTCTTCCGGGTTTGGATTGTTCAGCCCTCGGAAGTTTGCTTAGCAGAGCTCCCTGTGCCCAGCCTCCCTGGGAGCTAGCAGGGGTGGGCAGCTTCTGGGGATGGTGGCTGAATGGTTCTCTGATGGGGAGGGATGTGGGCAAGGGATGTTCCTGGGAGGTGTCTATGTGGCACCCCCTAAGGCTAGCCAGTCTTATCCAACACAGGGGCCCTGACCCTGTGGGAGGTATGGCTGTCCCTGGAGAGTGGTCATGAACCCCCACCACTACCTGCAGCCCGTAGTGGGTGTGACCACAGGCAGACCCTGGCTGGGCAGAGTATGTGGCCTGTCTAAGGCCTGGGAAGTGGCCTTCTCACCCCAAAGCCTCCAGGACATGGCAAGGGCCTTGGAATGGGCCGCTTGAGCCCAACCTAGAGTTGAGAGTGCAGAGGGGCTGGAGCCTGGCAGCAGCCTCGTGAAGTGGGCTGGTTGGCGCCACTCTGGTGTTGCTCTAAGAAGTGACAGATGAGGTGGTGGCAGAGAGTGAGCTCTGTCCTTGGTAAGATGGATTGTAAACTGGGAGGGGATACGGTTTCCCAGCCCTGGTGTGCTGGGGCTTGCGGTGAGAGCCAGTGTCCTCCAGGCTGAAGACACGCCTTCCCATGTGCGGCCGGGGAAGCAGGCCCGGACATCCTGTCCCCTCCTCGGGGAACCCCTGCTCTGCCCTAAGGAGAGTGGCCTTCCTGTGTCTCTCTGGCCCTCCGTGGCCAGCCAGGGGCAGGGGGCAGGATGTAGTTCCTGGGCATTGACCTTGCCTGCTTGGGCTTCCTGATTCCCTCACTCCTACGGTGGAGCCCATTGTGTCCCCATCCTAACTGAGGGCACAGGGGATCTGGGCAGCACTTGCTGAACCCCAGACTCCTAGCCACCTTCCTGATGGGTCACGTGCAGCCGTCCAGCCAGCATCTACTGTGAATACCAAGATGCTTGGAGATCCTGGTTGTGGCTGAGAAGAGGGATAGGGGGGCAGAGTGAGTGGAGACTGTCCCCTCCCCCGCTCTTGAACCCAAACCAGGCTGACTCAGCGCTTCTGTCCCCACCTCCCGTAGCCCTGGCTTTCTCAAGCTCTCAACAGCTTTGCCGTGGCTTTTGTCTGTACCTTGCAGCCTGTTAATCATTGATGGAGCTTGCAGCTGGGTCTGGCGGGTGCCTCGGCTGCTCGGGCCACCTTTCTGAAAGCAGAGGCCACATCTCCCTGACTGTGGCTGTCAGTACCCATCCGCTCCCAGGCACTGGCACTTGAATTCTGAGCGGCCACCTGACAGTTGTGCAGAAGTCAGTGGAGCCAGACAGGAGGATGGAGAGGCCAGGGCTGGGCCTGCAGGACGGGGTGATCTGGTGGCAAGGTCTGTTTCCTCTGCAAGACTTGGGTTCCATGTAAAACTGAGATTTCCATTTGGACCTCCCTGGGCTACCTCCTCTGGGCCCTTGTCCTTTGGTCTCATCCCCTGGCTGTCCTGAGATCCCTCTGCCCAGGGCCACTTCCAACACAGCCCCATAGGCACTGGAGACATTGCTGCCAGACGCTGAGCACCTCACTATGGCCTTAGCACCTCACTATGGCCTCCTTTTATGCCAGGACCAACATTTGGTCCAGTGGTAGCAAAACTCAGAGCTCCAGAGGGAAGACCTTCCCAGCCTGCACAGAGGCCTGCAGTCAGGGACAACAGGGACCTGCAACCTGGTAGGCTGGCCTGGGCTGCATCAGGCTAAGTGGCAGTGGCGGGAGCAGCTGAAGCCAGGCAGGAATGTTGCCCACCCATGTGCTAGAGTGACAGTGGGCAGGGCTTCCCTGGCAGCTGATGTCCCTGGCTCAGCCTGGAGTCCTCCCCTGCAAAGCTGGGTTTTGTCTTCCATGCTCCACATCCTGCCAGTGTGCTCAGCACTCCTCAAACAGTGCCCTTGGGTCCCTGGGGCGGTGTTCCCAGGGAGGGCTGGCCAGCAGGTGACGGCTCTTGAGACTCTGCCTCCCTCACCACTCCTGGGCGCTGGGATTGCTGGCTTGAGACCCTCTGCACACCCAGGGCGCAGGTGGGTGGTTCTGGTCTTCTGTGCACCTGCTCAGCCTGCTTCTGACGTGGCTCTGGGCAGGGCCTCCCTGCCTCCCTCTGCCACCCATCCCCCTTGCCTGGAAAATGGACCCAGATTGGCCCCATAACACTTTCCAGCCCTGCCATTCTGAGCCAGCTATTGGCTCCTAGATGATTTCCTGTGACTCAAGACCCCACCTGCTATCAGAGCGCTGGGCTGGGAGGACACCTTGTCATAGGCTGCTGAGAGTTGAGGACCAGGTCTCCAAGAAGGTGTGGCAGGCCCCGGGGGCAGGAGAGGTGTGTACCCAAGGTAAGTTGCAGGTGGCCAGCCCCAGGCCGAGGCTGAAGAGGTGCTTCTGGAAGCTTGCGTGTGCTGGTGCCTGGCTTCTGCTTCTCACAGGGAGAACAAGCCATGTATGGTACCACCACTGCCACTTCTGCTCAGACCCTGTGGGCTTGGCCACAGAAGGGAAGGCCTATGACACCAGGGCGAAGGCATGGGGTGTGCTGTGGCCATGCTGGGCCTGGCGCCAAACAGAATGGGCATGGTGTCATCCCCCCACCCCCACCTCAGTGCTCAGCATTTGGCACGTGGATGGAGCCAGCTGTGTCTGCCACCTCTTTCTCCTGGCTGCACTGAGCACGAGACGTCCCAGTCTCAGAGGGCAGGGTGAACACGGTTGCTGGGGCAGTTGGTTGGTGATCACAGTGACACAAAAAGAACTGAGCTTGCATGTGCTTCCGAGCATGGGAGAAACCTCAGTTTTACATGGCACCCATTTGTCTTGTTGCCAGCCCTCTTCTCTTGGCCCTGTGTGGGTGCTGGATGGAGCAGGGGCCACTGGTCTTATACAGGGCCTTGACAAGAGGTGGTGGGGACACAGCAGGGCCACAGTCAGGAACATGGTCCACTGCTTTGCTCAGGGGAACCATATGCTGGGTATTGTTGGGAACCCTGAGGCCCAGAGAGAACAGATTACCTACCTAAGGCCACACAGCTAGATACCCAGGGGCCTGCCTGTCTGAAGCCAGGAGCTCCTTCCCCACATTCCATTCCAGCAGCATGGGCCTCCAGGCCTCCTCTGTCTTGCTCTCTTGCCTTTGTAGGGGTCATAATGTTGACCCTCAGTGGCCTGGCCACATGCAGTATGGAGGGTTCCTGGGAAGGAGACAGCTGCCTCCCAAGGATGGCGTGTGGAGCTCAGCCCAGGCACTCCAGTGTGGTCACAGCTGGTGAAGCTGGCCCTCAGTTCGTGCCCAGGAGTCAGGACCAGCCTTCAGGAGCCTTCGATCTGGCTGTTTCCTCTTCCTGAACCCCTGCTGCCCAGCTGAGGCTCTGTGGAGGCTGCTTCCTCCAGGAGGTCTCCCAGCTTGCCCTGGCAGCTCATCACTCTGGGTGCTGTGTGCTCC